CCACAAATGTAAAGCAAATCTTACAGCATAACAGAAAATAAGCACTTTGTCTGGATTATAGCTATTAATATATAATACAGTTAAACACATAATCCCCTTGTGCTTTAGAAGCAGACTGGGTCCTACTGGGACAGAAGTTGGCAGCAAAATGCATATTTCACAAACATATTTGGAGTGATGCATGATGTACATGAACATAATGTAACCGAATGCAAACCACAAACTACAGATTCACTCCCACTACACCCTGGACATGATAAATGGCATCACTATTATAGTGGATGTGGCATGAGCCAGAAAATGTGCTGTTTTGTTTACCCACTATATTTTGGACTTAAATTGATTGTGAAGTAGTAAATTACTGCATAAGATGAAATAAATACTGTAAGTGTCACCACTCTGAGGAAAACAAAACCAAGCAGTCAAATTAACTATAATAAATAACTATAATCATAAGTCATGATTGAGGTCATTTCAGATTATGAAGAAAACTCTAACTGAGGCACCTCAGCAGCCAGAAATGAAACGCTCTCTCCAAATGACTGTCTCTTTAAATGCCCCCATCACTTTAAACCGTGTAGCCCGGGGTGATCTGTCACCTCCAGGTGTAAGTATTCACATGTCATGGCTGCTGTTACTACAACTATTACTTTCACTTAGTTCCTGTTATTAATATTATGAATGCAGCTACAGCAACATTGACGCCCATAACATTATAAGAACTAATAATGTTGCTGTTATTTTTATATCGTAATATAAGCTTAGTTACTAACAATTCCACAGTTACAGACAGACAGACAGACAGACAGATAGATAGATAGTCTTACTGTTTTCACAGCCCACACGTTCATGTCTCACAGGACTTACAATGCCCTGACCTAATAATCACATGCACCTACATGTATCCTTAACTATATGGTAGCACTTCAAGTACAGTAGGAGTGTTCCTGTTACACAAGCAATCCATATTAATACTGATCATTTCACTTTGGTGATACTTTTGTCCTATTTACTATAGCATCCCTAAATTAAAAGCCCCACTGAACAATCTATATGTGTATGAGTGTTTAATACTACTATCAATAGTACAACTAATACATGGTTTTGTGCAGTTAAAACAAAGTTCCACAACTAAACTCAAACCACTTTACATCAAAGTGGGACACAGTTGGTATTAGTACAATGAATGCACACACCTATGTAAAACACACAGACGGACTGTGGTGATTCATGCAACAATTTCAAAACATCACACAAGGCTTCACGACTTCGGTGTGTTGTATCATTCCGGTTGTTTTAATCACGTGAACAATGCATTGAATATAGGGAAACTCAAAACTTAATGGACGAGCAACAGGTAGATGTGCTGTATGTATACCTGCCACTGTCTCCGTGTTAATGTCCGGGTAAACTCGAAGTTTGAGGACTAAACGGGATTAAACGTTGGAGTTGCTGTTCAAAGATCTCTGGTGCTGAAACGCTCAGTGGCAGCATTCACCGTGCACGACCGTAGCGACGTGGGTCTCATGCTTTGCCCTGTTTTAATTGTTTAATTATTTCATGCTGTTCGCGAGGTCAGGCCTGAATGCAACCTGAACCGTAAAACAGCATCGTAAGTAGATTTAATCGACGACAAGCTGGCTCGGATAACAGCATTCAGGGATGGAACAGCCGTGTAATGCGCTAGTGAACACGTGAAACAAGACTTGCAGCTTGCAGTAAAAAGACACTAACCTGACGAGGAACAGTGACCATAAAGTGGAACAGAACAAACAGACTAAAACTATAAAGAAAGGAATCTTTGTAATGACGGGGCCTGGTTTTGACAAAAGTACCAAGACTTGGAAAACACGTGCAGGAGAGCTGAGGAGAGTTCTGTTTATTTGCTGTTCAAAATGCCAGGAAATGACATAATATTTTTGTCACTGAAGGCAAAATCAGGAGCCTCTAATATGCCCAAGCACCACTGACCTCAAATCTCCAGTGCTCTACAATGAGGCAGGGTCACATGTGACCAAATAGACAATTTCTTTAATATTCAGCTACAGCACGGACACGGCCGGACTATAGTAGGATAACAGCATGCAGGGTGTGTAGAAACGTGGGACCTCAACTTTTTGTGGAATACAGGAGACGCACAGAACAAAACAGCCCAAACACAACACAAACACAACACAGCACAGCACAGCACAGCACTACAGCCATAGGTTGAACTTAACACTTCTAACCTTCTATTTTATTTTCCATTGGTAGAGTCCAGCTCAAAGCCAAAATAACCCTCTTGTCTTTTAGGAAATGCAGGTGTCATTCATTGGCATCCTGACCCAAAGAAGTCCAACCAAAGCTGAAGCTGCATTTCACTCAAACTGCAGTTTTGCCCCCACAGTCTGACGGTCAGACTACTGCATGATGCTATACGGAGAAAAAATACACATATCTCCTTGGTGTAGAGTGATTCTCAATCTCGACAGAGGACTCGTCAACAATAGAACAAAGTAAGGGAAGAGAGCGACGTGAGGAGAGAGCGAGAGGGAGAGAGAGAGGAAGACCGCTCACTACTCTTCATCCTCTAATAGCCCCCTCCTCCTCTTCACTTGTTTCACCTCACACACACTTTCTTAGTGTTTCTAGTACTCGCTCATATGCCAGCCTGCAGTAAAAAGGCAAATGCCGCTGCTAGTAGAGGTTGTGCGCACGTGTCGCGGGTAAACAGACGCCCTGATTCCTGTTTGCCGCCTCCACGAGCCGTGATCGTGCTCATAAAAATTCGCTCTTTATCTTGTTGTTATTGTTGTTTCTTATTAGGCCTATAATAGGCTAATAATGCTATAAAACTATTCTCCATCTGTTCTGCTCGACGCGTGTGGCTGTTAAGTCGGATACTTTGCGCCCGCGCGGAGTCGCTCCCACACTGGAGAAAGTCGGTACAACCGTTCAGAAGACGACTGGATTCCCCTTCTCCAGCCCAGCTGCCGTCTCAAACTATATCTTGTTCTGTTTGCGGTAGTTTACCATGTTTACCCAAACACGCCCACTCCTCCGCTCCTGCACTGTGTGAACACGCTCTGCCGTTTGTCACGCCGGTGTAGTTAGGCGCACTCAGTTCTGTCAATACGTTCCCCTGAACACTAACAGGCAGTATGCCGCTATGCGGGGCTGTAATTTGGCAGTTGCCAGCGAACCTCTCCCGGCTTAGGTCGTGGGATCTGAGCTCATGGACTTATTAGGGCGAACGAAGAGTGTTCTGCAGCTCCGACAGCTTTTCTGTCCTGCCCATGGCTCCGTACCTGCAGTGCTGCAGAGAAAAGCGCCCCTTCCCCCACTCTGCATTATGACAAATCAAGGCAGGCAGGCAGCTGTGCCATTAGCACATCATAGCACAGTGAGTCTTCCGTGGGAGAACAAACTCACAAAGCTGTATCGCACACCGCTGCGGACTCAGACTAAACAGGCGATTGCACGTGTAGTACGCAATGTTAGCACCCAGTTCATCAGGTGACACGGCGCAGGGTTAAATAACGTGAGTCTGTACTGTCACGTTAGGCAACAAGTCTTTTCATATGCTTTGGAAGTGGACAACTAAATGTGTCGCTGTCGTTGCTGCATTAGATTTGCATCACTCCTTGCTTTTTCTGTTGCGCTTCAGGACTGTGGACATAATCGATGACTACGCACGCCCCCGTGATTATACACTGCCCTACATGTGAAATAAGTTACATAGTCAAGGCATCACAATTTAGAGTCTATCAGAAAATTTCTCCGTGGTTACTATAGGTACAGTAAACAATGCCAGAGAGACCCAAACATTTACGTTTCCGTAAAATCAAACATTCTGGATCCTCGTGCGCTTTGCGCCAGAGTCGCTGTCCACAATGCGGTGGTTCTGAAGCTGCTGGTCACAAGAATCTGCTGGATCTTGGAGTGACACTAATTTGACGTGATAAAGGATGTGTGACTGACACGCTTCAATATTTTAAAGGAAACCTTTCCCTTTGCTATGGCTCTACCCCCTCTCTCTCTCTGCCACACACAGGTACACACGGAAACTCACCTGTCCACTTGATATAATGTTACATTATTACTATAGAGAGATATGCAACAAAGAAAGTCATTTGATACTGGTAAAATACCAAACATTATCACAGTTGTGATGCTCAATTTTTTTGATGCTATTTTCATTAGTTACTACATTATGTGCCAGACTCCGGATTTCTTTCTCTCATAATTTATCAGTAGCCGGATGTTAACAGAGCCAAATTTAATTGCAATCCAGCAGAACTTCAAATGTAAAAAATCTGACGCTATCAGTTTGTGGATCACTACTAATCTTCAAATAAGAGACTGTAGATTGCCATGAAACTAACGGCGAGAGATAGCAGGCAAGGGGCTCATGCAACTAAGGTAATAGTGTGGGCTGTGTTCTCCTCGAGACAGTCAGCTCCTCCTTAACTGGTTCTGTGAATGGGCCAGTGAGGCAGTAGGGTATGAATGGCGGAGGGATCCGCTGGTACCAGCCGCCAACTTTCTCTTACTCACTCCCACTCCCTCAAGGGCCGTCTGCAATGCAGCTGTGCCCTACTTTATCCTGACAATGCTCAGGCAGTGCAGCAATGCTTCCCCAGCAACAGGCACAAACATACAGTATACAAACATATAATGACTTACATAAAAGCCTACTCATTGCATTGTGTTGAACATGCCTACAGTGGGTCAACAGACGGCAGCATTTGTTGTTATATGTACAAGCCCTCTATAATAACATTTACTTATTGGGCACCAGGGAAAGCTATAGGGTCTTCTCAACTGTGACAAATTAGTTTAAAGCAAAGCATTTGTAATGCATGGTGATCCAACAGATCATTAATCAAAATTAATAAAATTAATAAGGCAGAGCCAGATAGAAGAATTATGAGGGGGAAGAAACTGTAAGATATATAAAAAAAAACAGAAAAAAGGAGAGAGAAGAGTCCAAGCTAATGTAAAACTGAGGAAGGACGTACCATCCAGCGAGAGCCAGTCGTGCTGAGATGATGGCAGTGAAGGAAGAGCGCGGGCCTTGTACTCAAACACTACAGAGTTGGAGATGATCTGGTTACTGACAGCCACCTGCAGCGTCACCAGACCTGTGTCATGAGCTGGAGAGGGACAGGACAGTGACAATTCAGTGTATGACTACAAGGTTTGTTTATTAGCAATGACTGGTAACAACTGGCTTTCTCAGTGTAAAATAAATAACTAGGATTTAACTTACATTATTACATTTGAATTGAAGGATTATTATCAATATTAATTGACTATTGACATGTATGGTGACACATTGGGTTTAACATCTTTAATTCATTGCAGTAAAAATACATGAACAACCTGGGATTAACAGCTGGTGACAGATAAACACTGGTTTAGATTAGCATTTTTTGTGCTCACTGGTAGAACAGTTTTATTTT